CTGCCAATCCAGGGGGACTGCCCCCGATGTCCATGCGATATTGCAGAGTCGCGTAAGCCAACACAACCCTACAACATCCAGAGCCTTAAGGCGGATCTCATCCACCCCCGGGGCCCTGCCACCGAGGAGGTTTTTAACCACCTCGGCGACCTCGTCCCCAGAGATTGGAGAGCCCAACCCAAAGTCCCCAGGCTCAGCTTCTTCAACAGAAGGCATGTTGTTGGGATTGAGGAGGTCTTCAAAGTATTCTGCCCACCGGCCCACAACGTCCCGAGTCGAGGTCACCAGCACACCATCCCCACTATAAACAGTGTTGGTGCTGCACTGCTTCCCACTCCTGAGACGCCGGATGGTGGAACAGAATCGCCATTACAAGGATCAAAGGCTGAATTTCCACAATCTGTTGAAAATAAAGATCATTAAACTCATCCTGAAACATTAAAAAGATAAAAAACATTTCTAAGATTTGAAGTTTTTTAAACTGATGTAAATATTTTAACCAGATGAGTTCAGGTTTGTTTCTCGATCAAAACGTCTGGATGTAACGTTTAAACCTTCCATCAGGTTTTATTATGAATTCTGTTTTCTGCTGAAACTTCAGGACAAAAACTGATCAGAGTTTGTTTGGAGCTGAAACTGGAGACAAACATGAAGATCTCAGAGCAAACGAAAGAGAAAATAAAATGTTTCTTCAGACAATTAAAACAAACTCATTAAAAACATCTGTTCACAGACATCTGAGCCGACTCTGGACCTGAAACCTGATCCTGGACCTGAAATCTGATCCTGGACCTGACACCTGATCCTGGACCTGACACCTGATCCTGGACAAAGTTCTGAAACTTGAGTGACTAAAAGTCTGAGCTGATTTTCAGATTTCTTCATAAAGAACCTGAACAAAGATCATCATCTTCTGAGCTGATAAACAGCACATTAGCTGCAGTCAGTTGCCATGGCCACACATTAGCTGCGAGCAGCCGTCTCTAAGAACCTGCTGGCATGAACACACACACACACACACACACACACACACACACAC